GAACATAAATTGGAGAATCATTTAACGTTGAAATGCGGAATCGCCTAATAAAAAGTTTGATAAAATGTTTTAAGAGAAGCCAGTTTCTTAGATAAATTTTAAATAGCTTCTCTGAGGGAGTTTCAAAAATAATTTTTTGATAATCTGTAAAATAATGTAAATAAGTAAATAAATCCAGATTCCTGGAACCAATGAGATCTACCTGGTCTATGATAGTTCGTATGCTGATGGATATCGAAGTACGCTACTCATCGAGTTGCTGCCAAGTAAAGTACCACAGTCGCTTCGCTTGGTGCATCTGTCAGTCAACGTTGCGGGCAATCATTTTCGTACGGTCCTTTCGGCGATGCCCAATCTGACGTATACATACGCCTGGGAGCAGACTAATGTCTATATTCAGAGGGTCAGTGGACTAGTCAATGCTAAAAGTAAGTAGCTTCTCGGGTTTTTCTTTCCTGAAAGTCCTTTGCCTTTTTATAAAAATTTCAAAATCCTTTGTTCATTCGAGGACAAAAGAAAAATCTACAAATTGATGTGTTACAGTTTCGGTTGGCTATGAATACGAGGGATGCAACGAAAGTGTTGCGTGGATTCATCGGCTGGTTAAGCTGGAAGGCCATCGGGCTAATCGTTTCATGCTTGGTGGTTGGTCACTGAGTGTGCATCACCATTATGATGTAGTGCACAGTAGGTTTTCTTCCGTCCACTTCATTTTTGATCATTTTTAAAAAAAATTATGGTTTCTATTTTCATTTGTTTATTAGTATTGTATTCGTGTGAGCACTCAACGGAGAACCGAAATATCTTTTCTGGGAAAAAATGGGCAATTTTGGTTATGTGCACGAAACTGAAAAAGAGAGAGAAGCGAGTTTATAGCATGGAGTGAGGGCAGGACTTGGTTCAATCGCTGTTGGAGGGTAAATTTAGGCGAGAGGGAGTGAAAAATTAAGTGTGATAACGATGAATTTGGCGCCTAAACTAAAGTTAAATCAGTAAAGACGAAGAAGGGTAAGGGGAGGGGAGAGGACAAAAAGCCATTTGGTCAGTGAACAATGCCAGGTTTTTTAAATCTGGAGTACTAACCTTTTGTCTAAAATTGAATGCGTTT